GATTAAAACCTGTGTTGGTATATATACAGGATGGACCAAGGGTAAAGGAACTGAATGATAACATGGTAACTGAGGGTGGAGACGGACATTTGAATGAGATTAACTCACTCTCAGAATCACTACTTGGTATATATACAGGATGGACCAAGGGTAAAGGAACTGAATGATAACACAGTAACTGAGGATGGAGACGAATATTTGAATGAGATTAACTCACTCTCAGAATCACTACTTGGTATATATACAGGATGGACCAAGGGTAATGGAACTGAATGATAACACAGTAACTGAGCATGGAGACGGATATTTGAATGAGATTAACTCACTCTCAGAATCGGTACTGATAAATATTACATTTATGATTTCTGTCACTTTAGGGTATCCATGTATATATTACATACTTTACTCATCCTTACATTGAGGGAGTTTATGTGGGTTTTACAGGAGCTGTAAAAAACAGAAAGTAAAGAGTAGGCTGAAATGGCGTATCCAATAATATACAGTGAAATGCCAATAAAACCTAATGTTTTATAATAACTGTAGTAAGTATTCAGTTTCATTTTTAATTATCTAACAATTTACTATTCCTTGCCATACTGAAATATCACATTTGGTTATTTAAAAAAAAAAAAACTGTTAGTTATTATGAGATCATTTTTTAAGTATTTTGTAACAAGTGTTTTAGAATAGATGCAAGCTATAAAGAGTCTCAACTGAAAGTATTTGGCAGTTTGGTTTTTGTTCTCGCAAATATTGTTTATACAATTTCAGGTAATTGTTACCTTATGATTGCATTTAGATCATTATTTGAGGTTGAATCAAAGTGATCCTTAATTACACTAAAATACAGTTTCCATCAGTACTAGTTCTATTACTGCTTGGCGGCCATTACAAGCTAACTGCCCTAACTATATCCACATTTTGCTTACTGGCTCTAACATATAACATGTTTATAATTTATAGGTTATTTTATGTAATTTTTTTGTTTGTCTTTGGGTATGAAGTACTGAATATGTATATACACGTGTCTTTTAAAATTATCTCTAGGTGAGATATTTGAGCTGAAGAGTGAGTTGAACAGTGACAAAAAAGAAAAGAAGAAAGAAGCCGTGAAAAAAGTTATTGCTTCTATGACTGTGGGAAAGGATGTTAGTGCTCTGTTTCCCGACGTTGTCAACTGCATGCAGACAGACAACTTAGAGCTGAAGAAACTAGTATATCTCTACCTGATGAATTATGCAAAAAGCCAGCCTGATATGGCAATCATGGCAGTGAACACTTTTGTTAAAGATTGCGAAGACCCTAATCCTCTTATCAGAGCCTTGGCTGTACGTACCATGGGCTGTATTCGGGTGGACAAGATTACAGAATATCTCTGTGAACCTTTACGTAAATGTTTGAAAGATGAGGACCCTTACGTCAGGAAAACTGCAGCTGTATGTGTGGCAAAATTACATGACATTAATGCTCAGTTGGTAGAAGACCAGGGATTTCTTGATCAACTTAGAGATTTGCTGTCCGACTCCAACCCTATGGTGGTTGCTAATGCTGTTGCTGCTCTCTCAGAAATTAATGAAACTTCAAGCAGTGGTCAGACTCTGATAGAAATGAATGCTCAGGCTGTTAACAAGCTGCTTACAGCTTTAAATGAATGTACAGAATGGGGTCAAGTCTTTATCTTAGACTCTCTGGCAAACTATACTCCTAAAGATGACAGGGAGGCACAGAGCATTTGTGAACGTATCACCCCACGACTGGCTCATGCAAATGCTGCAGTTGTGTTGTCTGCCGTGAAGGTGTTAATGAAGTTCATGGAAATGATGGGAAACGATACAGAGTTTGTCACTTCTTTGACCAAGAAGCTGGCCCCACCTTTGGTCACTTTATTATCCAGTGAGGCTGAAACACAGTACGTTGCTCTCAGGAACATTAACCTTATTGTTCAGAAAAGACCTGACATTCTGAAACAGGAGATGAAGGTATTTTTTGTCAAATATAATGACCCAATCTACGTAAAACTAGAGAAGTTGGATATAATGATCCGTTTGGCCTCTCAAGCAAATATTGCTCAGGTTCTGGCTGAACTCAGAGAGTATGCAACAGAAGTTGATGTAGACTTTGTTAGGAAAGCTGTCCGGGCTATTGGAAGATGTGCTATTAAGGTAGAGCAGTCTGCTGAACGATGTGTTAGTACTCTTTTAGATTTGATTCAGACCAAAGTGAACTATGTTGTACAAGAAGCTATTGTTGTTATCAAAGATATTTTCAGGAAGTATCCAAACAAGTATGAAAGCATCATTTCTACATTATGTGAAAACTTGGACACACTGGATGAACCGGAAGCAAGAGCTTCCATGATCTGGATTATTGGAGAGTATGCCGAAAGGATAGATAATGCTGATGAGCTTCTTGAGAGTTTCTTGGAGGGGTTCCATGATGAGAACACACAAGTTCAACTGCAGTTGTTAACAGCCATTGTAAAACTGTTCTTGAAAAGACCAACTGAGACACAGGAACTTGTCCAGCAAGTGTTGAGTTTGGCTACACAGGATAGTGATAACCCAGACCTACGAGACAGAGGTTTCATCTACTGGAGGCTGTTGTCCACGGATCCTGCTGCTGCCAAAGAAGTTGTCCTTGCAGAGAAACCATTAATCAGTGAAGAGACGGATCTTCTTGAACCAACTCTTCTTGATGAATTGATCTGTCACATTGGAACTTTGGCTTCTGTGTACCATAAACCTCCATCTGCTTTTGTAGAAGGTAAGACTGCTGTTAGAAAACAGCTGCCTCCTCGACAGAACTCGGTTGGTTCAGCAGAAGAGGCATCCAGTGGAAGTCCACCAGCTCCTGGACAGCCCACTGATGAGCAGCAACCTACAGTTATTCCTGTTGCTGACAATCTTATTGGAGACCTGCTTAGTCTCGATATCAGTGCACCATCCACTTACCAGGCTCCCATACCTTCGCAACCTCAGCCTGTTGCTAACACTGCCGCTATGGATCTCTTAGGTGGAGGGCTGGACAGTCTACTTAGTGATACTTCTGCTCCAGCAGGTATAACGTCAGCTCCTCCTGTTAGCAGCAGTGGACTCCTAGGTGACATATTTGGTATTGGAAATGTCACACCTTTCTACACTCCAGCAAAACAGGTGTGGCTCCCAGCTGCCCGGGGAAAAGGTCTGGAGATAAGTGGAACATTTACTCGGAGAAATGGACAAATATATATGGAAATGACATTCAGTAACAAAGCCATGCAAGCAATGACTTCATTTGCAATTCAGTTTAATAAAAACAGCTTTGGTCTTTCTCCAGCCCAATCTCTTCAGGTACAGGGGCCATTGCAGCCTAACGGATCTGTAGATTCAAGCCTTCCAATCAACACTAAGGGACCTGTTCAGAAGATGGAACCTTTAACAAACCTTCAGGTGGCAATAAAGAATAATGTAGATGTATTTTACTTCAGCTGTCTTGTTCCTCTGCATGTCTTGTGTATGGAAGATGGAATGATGGATAAGCGGGTGTTCCTGGCCACCTGGAAGGACATTCCTGCCCAGAATGAAGTACAATATACAATAGAGAATGTGAATTATACAGCAGATCAAGTCTCGAGCAAACTACAGAACAACAATATCTTTACAATCGCCAAGAGAAATGTTGAAGGGCAGGATATGCTTTACCAGTCCCTCAAGTTAACGAACGGCATCTGGGTTCTGGCTGAATTAAAGATCCAGCCTGGAAACATAAATCTTATACTCTCTCTGAAATCGAGAGCCATGGAGGTTGCTTCCGGAGTCCACCAAACTTTTGAATTAATATTACACAATTAGATCGTTCTCATACATTCCAGGGAGTAAGTGTTAGACCATGTTTGTGCTTACATTATGTGCTTTACAAAAAACATTGTTTAACAACAGTAATATAAGAAAGGATAATTAGTATTGTAAAACTACCTGTTGAAACGTTTATCATGTTATTGTTAAGGTATCATAAAATAAAATGTCAAATATTACATGTAGATATGTTTTAAATGTTGAGGTGATTTTTAACCTTTACACTACCAATCAAACAAGGCCACCATAAACATCATACAGAGCTATACTGGTTTATTACTACACATAGATCTGTATACTTATAGCAGGTTACAATGGTTTATTACTACACATAGATCAGTATGTTTGTAACAGGTTACAATGGTTTATTACTACACATAGATCAGAATATTTGTAACAGGTTACAATGGTTTATTACTACACATAGATCAGAATATTTGTAACAGGTTACAATGGTTTATTATTACACATAGATCAGTATGTTTG